GGGGGGTGTGTGTGTTGTGTGTGTGGGGGGAGTGTGTGGGTGTGTGTGGTGTGTGGTGTGTGGTGCGGGACCTCAGGCCTCGCACGTGCCGGCCAAGCGTGAGCTGGGGCCCAGACCAACTGCTTGCATTTTGAGGCAGTTTCTTCAGCAGGAATAACCGGTAACAGGAAGAATCACAGTCGTGGAGGGTCGGAGGGCTACATTTAGAGCCCGTTTCCTCTTCAGAGCGTGTGCACACCATTCATCTCATTGTGTGTTTATGTATTTAACATCTTCCCAAAACGTCCATGCTGTTTAGAACGGCTTCCGATGACCAGTGGGCTGGGGTTCTTAGTGAGAAACCCCTTCTCTTTTACACACACACACACACACACACACACACACACACAGACACGTTGCACTTTCTAAGGATTCTGGATGCACGGAGAAGTCGTGAAGGCCATGGAGTCCCCACATGCCCTCCGTCACCTCCTCTATGTCGACATCCTAATGTGATGGTGCACAATTGTCAAGTGAAGGGCCGACGCTGGTGGACTGCTGTTAACTACAGGCCAGACTCTTCAGATTCGCTCCTCTGTTTTAAGCTTTTTCATCACCGGGAAGAGTCCCAGGGACCACACAGATGCTCCTGGGGAGGCTTGTGTGCTGGGTCCTCTTGTGTGTGCTCAGGTCCTGGAGGACCTCCCAGGCCCTGGGGACAGCCTCACAGCAGAGGACAGGAGGCAGCACTGCCTGTCAGACAAGGGGGTGTTGGGGACAGGCTTGGTGCGGTGGGTCCACGGGTCAAGCTCTGGGGAAAGAAGCCTGGGCTTCAGTCAGATCCTTTTCCTTTCATGGTAAATGTTGTGAACAGAAACTAAGATGGCGCGCCTGAGACACGGCGCGCCTGAGACACGGCGCGCCTGAGACATGCTTTAAAAAAAAAAAAAAAAAAACTAGGGATTTAACCCAGGAGCACTTTACCACTGGGCCACATCCCCAACCCTTTTTTTATTCTTAAATTTTGAGACGGGGTCTCATAAGTTGCTGAGGGCCTTGCTGAGTTGCTAAGGCTGGCCTCAAACTTGCGCTCCTCCTGCCTCAGCCTTCCAAGTTGCTGGTATTACAGGTGCGCACCATGTGTCTGGCTGAAATGTATTTTAAAGAAGCAAAAGTTACAATGGCTTCTGATGTAGGTTAGGTAGTGATGGAAGAAGCCTGAGCCGGAAATGTGTCAACAAGTTGACCAGAGTCTGAGGTCACACAGTCCCAGAAGCAGTCCCATTTCCCGAGCCTTCTCACCATAGAGGTTTCAAAATTCATCAGCCCATTCTGATGGCTTCTCACTGCTGCACAAGCCATGGCCCCGTCTGACTGTTGGGTGAAGTCGAACCCTTGGGGCTCGTGTGGATGGGAGGAGGATAAACTCTCCCAAGGACCTCCTGGGTGGGCTCCATGCCCACCTCACGCCTGGCCTTTGGTGGTTGGCAGATGGCCAGGTTAGGGCCTGGAGTCGGGTGGGAATCCCGTGTTCCTGCCCTGGGCTGCAGTGAGCCTGTGTCCTCATCTAGAGTGGAGGGTGGAGGTCCACAGATCAAGGACGTGCCTGTCACAGCATCCCGAGCTGCTCTGGGCTGAGCTGAGGCCAGGCTTGTCGGCATGGCTGGCGGTGGGGAAAGGCTCCAGTCCTGGAGGGCTGTAACCAGGTCTCCACCTGCCCGGGCCTGCGGGTGTCCCTGAGCGATCTTCTCGCTCATCGAGTTCCTGCTGTTGATGGGCAGCGTTCGCAGGTGCCATTGGGCACGGTGTGGGGATTAGTGAGTCACAGAGATGGACCCTGGGGCGTGTGGCCTGGCAGGCCTCGCTGCGTGGGCAACCATTCATCCTGGCGTTGTGAAGGAACTGGGGAAACTCCTGAACTGCTTTAGGAGGAGGCCGACTCGCCACAGCAGAGCAGCCAGAGAGCCCCGATGAGGGAAATAACAGAAGGTCCACCGTGCAGGACAGTTGTCCCGAATCCACTGAGTTTTCCAGTTGTAGCCAGAGTGGGAATGACAACGGTCCCACCTTAGTCCACATGAAGTGTTCAGGACAGGGCTCCAGCTCTCTGGCCCCCAGAACCTTCTACCGGCATGAAACGTCCTGTGGCTGTGCTGGCCAGCATGGGAACCACTGGGCACGGGACAGTGAGCATTTGAAGTGGGGCAAGTGAAGTGGGGAACAGAAATTTTAAGTCTTATTTGGTATTCGTTGCTTTTCATTTCAACACACTAGCCATATTTGGCTAGCAGCTACCACCCTGGATGGTGTGGCTCTAAATCATCCAGCAAATGTCAGCCACTGGTGCTGGCATTATGTGATGATTACTTTAGATGTTTTCCAAGAGGAGTTTGGTGCTCATGGTCGGGTAGAGCGCCTGTAGGGCCATCTTCTACCAGCCTGGAACTCCTAAGGAGGATCCTCTGCTTTCTGGCATTTCATCTTTCCCTCGAGGCTGACAGATGCGCCAAAAAGACGTGCCGAGGTCCCAGGCTGCTGTGGTTTTGCACCTTAGACTTTGGGCCATAGGTGGGGTCCCGAGGTCTCTGCCTGCAGATTCAGGCTCTTGTGGAGGCCATGGCTTGGGGTGGGGGGTGTTCAGCTTAACCCAGGGGAGTGACATCTGCATCTTCAGCCCTCAGGTCGCTTTGGCTCAGCCGTGGCCGTGTTGGATTTTAACCAGGACGGGGTTCCGGACTTGGCTGTGGGAGCACCCTCTGTGGGCTCTGAGCAGCTCACATACAAAGTAAGGCTGCTGCTGATGGGGATGGAGGGGAGGCCAAACTGGGGAGCCCCTGGAACAAGGCGGATGCCCCCCACTGTGCCAGGCAAGCATTTGTGGGCAGGTGAGCTCTGGCCACATTTGGGTCGGTTGCCTCTTAGCACCTCTTCCTGCCTCTGGCCTTATTCTGACCTCAGGGTTTCCCAGTTCCAGCAGGTGGTGGACACCTGCCCCATGACGCTCTAAGTTGACAAGGGAGACAGGAATTCCACCCACTAGGAAGCTTCCGCAGCCACGGAAGGCGGGGCACTCCCTGGACCTTCTTTCAGGCTTCTCTCCAAAAGCAGAGGACCTGGGCCCTCTCTTCCCACAGGTTCTCCAGGCCCCCAGCACCTGGGCACCCATGTAACCCCTCTGGCTCTCACATCAGGAACTTTTCTTTAGAAGTGACTTGTCCCTCTTGCAGGAAGTGTTACTAACCCTGGGTGAGGCCAGCTTCATTGTGCTTGGGAGCCAGGGCTGCTCCTTCCACACTTCACACCCCACCTGCCTGCCCACCAGCTCAAGGAGAGCACAGAACAGAGCTGGCCTTACCTGCCCTTGTGCACCCAGTCCTCAGCTAAGGTGGAAAGTGAACTCTTGTAGAGTGTGTGGCGCTCAAGAGAGCCATCTGACTCGTCACCAGGAAAGGAGCTCAGATGGCTCTCTGGCCAAGAATGGAACAGACTCCGTGTTCTGTCACCTTAGAGGTGTGAATGCCGGCTAAGCAGGGAAGGCCCAGGGGACAGAATGGAGCTAGCCTTGGAGGGAGGAGTTGGGGGAGATTCTCTATAGACACATTCGACAATGACATCTGGCAGGTCCTGAGCAAGGCTCCAGGGAGATGAAAATAGAAATGGCCTTCTGCTTTGGGGGCTCTCATGGTCTGATGGAAGTGACCAATTGAGAGACTTCAGCCCAGTGGCCATGGGCAGGATGGGCTGGTCAGTCCAGGCACCCTAGAGACGGTGGTGGTTTGTTTCCTGGTTGGTCCTCTGTCGGCTGCTCTTGAGGGCTCCTGTGGCTGTCTGTTCTTGCCTAGGGTGCAGTGTATGTCTACTTTGGTTCCAAAAAAGGAAGACTGAATTCTCCCCCTAACATCACCATCTCCTGCCAGGTATGCACACCCCTTCATCCTGGTAGAGAATCCAGTACGCGCTGCATCCCAGTTGCCTCAGGGTGAGTCCCCAGTGCCTCTCTTGTTCCCCCTGTAGGACACCTACTGCAACCTGGGCTGGACACTCCTCGCTGCAGATGTGAATGGAGACAGTGAGCCCGACCTAGTGATTGGCTCCCCCTTTGCACCGGGTGGAGGAAGGCAGAAGGGAATCGTGGCTGCCTTTTATTCTGGCCCCTGCCAGAGCAACCAAGGTAGAGTCGATGGAGGGAAGGGGTCCAGCGCCCTAGCTGTGGGTTTCTGGACTCTTTCCTCATTCCATATCATGTCAGCGAGACTAACAGTCTTACACTCTTAGGGATGTTCTGGTAATGGGTGTTGACTAGTCACTGAGTCTATAAAAGTGACCTAGATACTAGAGAGTCACTAGCTCATTCTCATAGTCTTTCAAGGTGAAATAAAAAAGCTAAGAAGTCCTAGGGCCAGGCATCCCGATGTGTGCTGAATTTCCAGAGAAGGGCATTTCTAACTAGTGTCCGCTAACCCATAGAAATGAATTCCAGGAGAGTATGTATGCAGAAGTGGGAAATATGCCTCTAGTGTTGGGGAGCTGGGACCGGGATGAGGACCTACAAGAGTTCTGGCAAACCTCAGCTGAACAACCTGTTTCTCTTTAGTCTACGAGCAGGATCCTTGCTCTGTCCTAGCGGGTCTCTCAGGTGACATAAAGGGTCTGGTTGTCTTATTCAGAGCAGCTAAACGTGGAGGCGGCCGACTGGATGGTGAGCGGTGAGGAGGACTTTGCCTGGTTTGGATATGCCCTCCACAGTGTCAGGGTGGACAGCAGAACCTTGCTGCTGGTGGGGAGCCCCACGTGGAGGAACGTCAGCAGGTGAGTGCCGCTGCAGGGCAAGGACAGGAGCTTGTTGCTGTGGGAGCCCCTGAGTGTGGTGTGCAGGGAAAGGGGTAGGAAATCCTGCCTGTCTATGGAAATGCTCGGCTTTGGAACAAGCCGGCAGGTTCTCCATCTTAGAAAGTGAAGAGAACAGTAAGTGTGTTAGTTTGCCACTGCTATGACAAAGTTCCACAGCAGAGAGGGACTGCCTTGGTTCTGGGGGCTCTCAGTCCAAGATCAAAGTGTTGGCTGGTTTCTTTTGAGGCTTCTCACCTTGGCTGGCAAAGGGCCATCTTCTCCGTGTGCTCGCCTGGTCTTCGCTCTCTGTCCTCATCTCTTCCTGTAAGGATTAGGCCCACGGGACAGCCTGGTTGTAGTAACCTATTTAAATACCCATCTCCTAAAAGTCACATTTGGAAGTACTAGAAGTTAGGACTTCAGCGTAGGGACATGGGGAACATGATTCAGCCCCTAACAGGGTCCCCTGTGTTTGGGGTCAATTGGGAGAGAAGGGTGTCAGAACTGGAGAGCTTCAAGTTGGGCTTAACTCTGATGGTTCCCGCTCCAGGTCAGAATCCTAGGACAGAGTTCAGGGAGAGGTGTCTCCTTTCCTTGGAGGTGCAGACCTGGCAGCCAGCCCTGAGCGCTGGGCTTCACCACTGTCTTGCTCTCTAGGCTGGACCATGCGTCCCACAGCCACGACAAGCAGAGCCTTGGCAGGGTGTACGGCTACCTCCCCCCAGATCGCCAGAGCAGGTTTATCATTTCTGGTGACAAGGTATGGCGACCCTCCCTCCCCAGGACAGTGGACACAGCAGTCTTCCCAGATTACACTGCTGACTCCTTATGCTTTCAGGCAATGGGGAAGCTGGGCACGTCATTGTCAAGTGGCCACGTGATGGTGAACGGGAACCGTACCCAAGTGCTGCTGGTGGGAGCCCCGACTCACGGTAGGCCACAGGCCACGGAGCTGTTTGTTTCAGTCTCACGGCTCCCAGACTATGTCACGTCGGGAGAAGGTTGCAAGATCTGGATCCAGGGCAGAAGTGGTTTAAATGGTATCCTTTTTTCAGCCAGGCGTGGTGCTCATGGGTTTCTCTAGTCCCAGCTCTTGGGAGGCTGAGGCAGCAGCATTGCTTGAGCCCAGGAATTTGACAATCTGGGCAACACAGCAAGACACCATCTCAAAATAAGTCCCACACCTTTGTTTATTAAAGGCAAGCTGTGTGACTTAGGGGAAGTAACTTACCCACTTAACTTCCATATCCTCTGCAAAACGGGGGTTATAATATCTAGTTCAGGAGTTTGTTGAAAATGACACGTGAAAGTGACTCAGTTAAAGCCTTGATGCCACTAACCTTGGTGCTAGGATTTTCTAAGTTGGTTCATCAGGAAAGGTCTATTTTGAATGTGTACACACACACACACACGCACTACACACACACACACACACACACACACACATGCGCATGCTGAGGATAGAACCCAGGGCCTCACACATGCTAGGCAAGGGCTCTACCACTGACTTATATTCTCAGCCCTAAATACATTAGTGTGATGATCTGATACAAGTTCAAATTGCACAGTGCACAAAGCAGGGTCACTGGCCTATCACCTTGCACGTTTATCATTTCTTGTGGCGAGAGCGCTCAAAACTCTTGTTAACTCCGGTCGCCTAGCTGTACAGTGAGAACACTAACACTTACCCTCCTGTACACATGGAACTCTGTACCTGGTGTGCCGGGTTGGAGAACATTCCCACGGGCAGCCACACTCGGGCCGATTCTGGCTCTGAGACAGCCCTGGGGAGGCTTCCCTCAGGAGTGGCTGGGTCTGAGTGGCAGATGCCCTTTCTGCTGGGGACTGAAGCATGTCCAAGAACTCAGGGCCACACCTAGAAGGCAAACTAGCCAACCCAGGTGTGCTAACCTATGCAGCAGGGGCAGGGCCAGTGTCCAGCCAGGCGACAGGGCCAAAGAGACAGGTCTCACATCCTGCTTGCTGTGGAAGGACAGATGCAGGGCAGTCCACAGAGTATAAGGAATCTCTTAAGTTCCGTCACTCCAGGGACCGCAGGTTCCCTTCAGGAAGCTTGGAACGATAAAGCAGATGCAGATTTCTCCCAACTTTTCTTGAACCTGGGGCTCGATCCCTGAATATCCACTACTGTACTTCCTTAAGTGTTCTCTTAGGGGATGTGGTGTGAGGTCAGATTGTTTATCCTAAAATGCACCAGTGACTGAGTCTTTTAAAGGACTGCTGCCTGGCGATTTTTTTTTTTTTTTTTTAGTAACTTTATTTTTATGTGGTGCTGAGAATCAAACCCAGGGCCTCGCATGTGCTAGGCAAGCACCCTACCACTGAGCCACAACCCCAGCCCCCTCCTGTGTTCTTTGCTTGTCTCCACTGACTCTGCGTTGGGCTCTCAGTTACTTGTAGTAGACAATCTGCCATAAACTCGGGGACAAGAGGGTTGTGGAGAATCATCAGATCAGTCTCCTCGGTTACACAAGCAGCCCCAGGTAGACTGTGCTGAGGCTACGCCCACTCGCCCACAGTGCCAGCTCAGCCAGCCTTAGGACACCAACCCCACCAGTGCACAGATGCCACTAGTGCTTGGAGGGGTTCCGAGTTCTAAAAGCAAACTGTTTCAAGTGACTATGTAGCAGGTACAAACCTCACTGGCTTTGTCTTGAATTTGTCCACCATGTATTCATTCAAAAAACATCTGCTGAGCATAGGGATGTGCAACCAAGCCACATGCTGGGCATAGGGATGGAGACCTAAGACATGGTGTTGCTAGTGGGCCTGACAGCTGAGGTAGTAGCTACAGTGGGCAGAAACTGCTGCTGTCCTGCATTGGGCACTGCAGAGCAGGAGCAGCAGCTATCCTAGGCCAGGGAGGGGATACCAGAGCCAAATTCTGGAGGATGAGAGCTGTGGGCAGAAGGCCTGAGCAGGGGTCGTGAAAAGTATCTCTTGGCAGACACAGTCCGATCAAAGGCCCCAGTTTAAGAACGACGCTGTGGGTGAGGTGGGGGCAGTGGCCTGAACTGGCACTGGAGGCCTAAGTAGGAGTCATCTTAGGGAGGCCTTGGGGAAAGTTGGGCTCCATCCACAGTCCACTTGCATTTGAAATTGTAAGGCAGAGTGGCATGAGCAGTCCATGATGTAAAAATAAAAATAGCTCTGCAGAAAACGTATGTGGGGGTGGTGAGACTTGGAATCACTGAGCTGCTTTGGTGTTTGAAGTCTTGGTGCCCAAATTATTTGCACCTTCCAAACTGCCGGAGTTGACTGGCCCTGAACCACTGTCCTGTGAGAAAGAGGGCCACAGCACTTTGGGGCACACGTGGGGCAAGAACAGGGTTCTACTGTGTCCACAGCTTGTCCTCGTTTGATGCAGTAGGCACTGTGGCTCATTTCAGATGATGTGTCTAAGATGGCATTCCTGACCATGACCCTGCACCAGGGTGGAGCCACCCGGGTGTATGCGCTGACCCTGGACATGCAGCCTTCTCTGCTCAGCACCTACAGTGGAGACCGTCGCTTCTCTCGCTTTGGTGGAGTTCTGCACTTGAGTGACCTGGATAACGATGGCTTAGGTAAGAAAGGAACAGCGCATTTAGCAAGAATTAAGTCTCTGCCCGATGGACCAGATGGAAAACTAGGCTCTGCCCTTGTGACTGACAGCCCAGTGGCCCAAGGGCCTGGACAGATTCAAATCAGATAAGAAATGGTCAGGCACAATGCTGAAGATTGCAACATGAGAACCCACCTGTCGTTACTGATGGGTGGCAAGAGGAAACAATGGCCTCAAAGGTTACTTTGTCAGGAGGACATCAGGGAAGACTAAGGGTGCACTAATTAATTATTTGTGGGAGGCTGGGTCAGGATCCAGTAGGAGAGGAGGATGAGAGGGAGGATCAGAGACAACCTTCTGCCAATTCTTACTGTTTACAGATGAAATCATCCTGGCAGCCCCGCTGAGGATAACAGATGTAACCTCTGGGCTGCTTGGGGGAGAAGATGGACGGGTCTATATATACAATGGCAAACAGACCACCCTTGGTGACGTAACAGGCAAATGCAAATCATGGATAACTCCTTGCCCAGAAGAAAAGGTAAAGTGTTCTGCAAAACCCCACGCCACGTTGGGAAAGCACCACTACTAGCTGGAGCCCTGCTAACTCACGTTGACTGTGAAGCAGGGACAGGGAGGACGAGAGCTGTGGGCAGAAGTCTGGGGTCTGGGCAGTCATTTGTTGAGCTCTGTGTGACCCACAGCCTGCAGGCTGCCTGGCTTTGCTGTCATGTGGGGTCCTGGTCAATGACTAGGAAGGTGCCCGCAGCAGAAGGAAGGAGGCAAGTGGTGGCCCCTGGAGTTTTACTGAACCTTCCAGCCTTTTGTTTACTCTTTTGTTCCTTGTCTCAGGTTGGTGTCCTTAAGTTATGTTTCCTGGACCTTAAACATTTGATCTTACTATTTTTTAAATTAACAAATTATTTTCTAATTGAAAAATTAAAGTTTCCTGTGAACATTTTAGAAAACACAAGAAAGTATAAAAAAGAAAATTAAAAATCATCTCTCTGGGATTGCACCTTGTAAAGCTAATGCCTGCTGCCCTTTAGAGCATATCCTTCTAGTATTTTTCTATAAATTTAATTCTATATATTGTGGCATCAGCACTATATATATATAATTTAATCCAAATAAAGCTATGAAGTTGCCATTATGCTGAATTATAAATGAAGAAACTAAAGATCACTGAGTCTTTTCAAGGTCATATTGCAAGATGGTAGAACAGGGACTTTACCACTTTTTAACTAAACCATGATGATATACATAATTTTGTGCACGTTGTAATCTGACCTTTTAACTGTTACAATATATGAAATAAGCATTCCTAATCCCAAAATTTAAAATGCTCCAAAATCTGAATCTTTGAGTGCTAATTTAAAGTTACAAATGAAAAATTCTACATAAAACTATTTTCATGCACAAAATTAGAATATTATATAAAATCACCATCAAGCTATGTGTGTAAGGTATATATGAAATATAAATGAATTTCATGTTTAGATTTGGGTCCCATTCCCGAGATATTCCAAAATCTGAAAAAATTCAAAATCCAAAATGCTTCTGGTCTCAAGCATTATGGATAAAGGACTTTTTTTTTTTTAAGGGTCACATTTATTTTCTTATGTAGTAACTAGACAGAAAAAGGTGTTAAAAAAAAAAGCAGGGACCTCATAGAAATAGAAAGATCAGTCTAGCAGATGAAGGGAAGGAGGGGAGGATAAGGGGAGGTACTGGGAATGAAATTAGTCAAATTATGTGCATATACTGTCAACTGAACCCACTACTATGTATAATCATAATGTACCAGTGAAACAAGAGTCCATAAAACCCCAATTGCTATTATCTGATATTCTATGCCAGCTTAATTAAAAATATCTTATATTTGCAAGCTGCCTACTATTTATCTATAAACCATAACTTAACCATTATTAAAGTGATGATTATTGGTCACATCAGTAAATTTTCCCTGTTGTAAGTAATACAAAGGCAAATATTCAGAAACATTTTTATACATTTGGTTACTTTTTTGGAGCTAATATCCTATAAATGAAGTTTCTAGGGTCAAAGGGCATGCACATTCCTAAGGAGTATCTGGAAATGTTGAAATTCGAGCATAAAGGTACATTGTAAAATTGTTTAAAAATCCACACAAATAGTAGCAATAGTACTAATAGCTCCCTTTCCTCCCTTTTTAAAAAATCCTCCCAGGCCCAATATGTATTGATTTCTCCTGAGGTAAGTACCTCCTGAAGGACCGAAGAAGGAAAACTGCCAGAAAATGCCCTTTCCCCTTACTTCAACTGATGCAATACAGTGGAGTGCTTCAGATGCCCACTGTCAGTATGTCTTACAGGCAAGTTCAAGGTTTGGGAGCTCTCTGATGGCTGTGAGGTCAAAGGAGAAGGTAAGTGTATGGACTGCACTTCTCTGATGCTTATATCTGTTCTAAGGCCAGGATTTGGTGATCTTCAACAACTTTAGATTTTATTTTTATTTGAAAATTAGCACAAAGGTAGCACTCACATAATCTCATTGTTTTTGAATGAAAAGTTCCCCTTCTTACTCCTATTTTATTCCCTACGGCAGAGGCTGTTGGTATACTATAGCCCACTCCCTGTTCTAGAGTAGCCATTAACTAAAATGGTCATTATGTGTTTAAATAGCTGAAAAATATTATTATGACATGTGAAATTGATATGAAGTTAAAACCCATGCCCATGAAGTTTCACTGGAACTTAGCCATACTCATTCATCCATGGCTATGCTACAGTGGTAACTTCAGAGACTGATGTCTCACAAAGTCTAAATTATTTATTATCTGGCTTGTCACAGAAAATTTGCTGATGCTTGTCCTACTGGAAAACCATTGTTCGTATTTTATTTTCTTCCAGACTTGCAGCTCTTAAGTGACTCTAGAGACAGACACATGCAGGGCTACTGTTTCATTTTTATGTACTGTTTGATGTCTTCCCAGAGAAGTACCTGAGCTACCTGCTCCTTTCCTGTTCTTAATAGCTACCTAGTATTTTGTTGTCTGAATTTATCATATTTCAGTTCTCCAGTTCAGATTCTCTGATATTTAGGTCATTTCTTTTTTGGTTTCTTGATTCTTGAATCTGTATTTTCATATAACTGCAAATATTCTTGTAAGCAACAATCACTAAATGAAAGGTGTATACATTTAAAATTAGTAGATGTAGTAGATTTAAGAGTCTTACCTTAATTTATACCTCTAAACCACTAATTGCATGTGTATGATACTGTGTAGAGCTGTGCTAGACTATTAAATATAAGCAAAGTCTCTGGTTTTGAAAAATAACATATACATGAGAAATTGAATAAAATGCAAACTGGTGTAGGATTAAACACTGCAGAGCAGAGTGAACAGGAAGCATTAACTGGGAAGAAGGTCTGGGAGGCCTCAGACTTTAAGGACTTGGCAGGCCCTGAGCCAGGATCCTGCCCCCAAGGAGCATGGTGAAACCGCCCTCCAGTGGCCAGCACTGCAGGCTGGCTCACTTACAGCCATGCCTCTCAGCAAAGGTTCAGGCTGAGCACTACACAAACATGGATTAAGCTTATGGAAAGATTCTTGAAACAATACTTTATCATAAGTTTGGATTTTATTTAAAATTTAATGCATTTCATTAACACCATTAATAATTAGATATTAATTAATCCATGCATTTGATTAACTGGTAGCAACAAACCAGAATGCGGAGGCCTTAACACTTACCCAGGTGGTGCTGCCCGCATCTGTATTCTGAAACTTCTCAGGAGGTGCCAGAGCAGAACTCACGGATGGACCGTGAGCACCAGAGGTGGACAAGAGAACCCGAGGCCCAGTCCCCAGGACCTTATAGTTAGGTAGCAGAATAAAACATGCCTATGAGATGTGGAGGTCAATATGACAACAAAAAGCCAGTCGACCGCAGTGATGCCTATGCTGGCCGGGTCAGGGAAGGCCTGTGGGCCCCAACCCGCACTGGGAAGATGAGCAGATTCTGCCTTGAAGGCAACAGCTAGGGAGGATTTGATTCTATGAAGTGAACTGGCTGGACCAGGAAATGGGAAGGGGACAGACAAGAGCCAATGACGAGCACATGCAGTCAATCAGTAATCTTTAAATAAGGAAGGGAAGGAGAAGAAATTACTTTTTAGATGTTTTCCCTTTTAGCTGGGAGAGAGATATTTGACATGCGGTAAAGCCTCAATACATCTTAGCCATCAATTCTCCATCCCATCACTAGTGTTTCAAAACCAAATTGATGAAAAACTCACAGTGCTCTGACCAAAACATCTGTGCCACTGTTTGGTCACCCAAACCTCATTTACTGGCCTTGGTTCAGAATCATTTTGGCAATTTCCACAAATCAAATCAAACCTTTAATAATGAACATTTGTCATCACTGAAAATGTCTAAGAATCTGCAGCAGGTCTTGCAGGCAATTCTTAAAGGGGGGTTCTAAAATGTTCAAGCAGAGGGGTGACGTGTATATCACCAACCAAGGCAGCCCCTACACAAGGCCTTACTACTCCAGAGATGCTATCTACACTGGGCCACAACTAGAATTATGGAATAAGCACGCACCTCTCCATTATTCTTCATGTGCAAGAGGGGACTGGGTGAACTTCCTCAGCTGTGGCTCAGAACCTAGAGATTTGAGAAGTGGTTATCTAAATAAAGGGAAACAGGCTTTGCTGTAGAACTGGCCAGTAGCTTATTCATGTTTAGTTTCCAGAGCCAGGTGCCTGAACTTTAGGAGGAGCTTAGCAATAATCTGTCCATATTGTGTCCCTTACAGAACCAGCTTGTCATTGCTGCTGGAAGGAGTTCTCTGGGAGCCCGGCTTGCGGGGGCACTTCATGTCTACAGCCTCAGCTCAGATTAGAGATTTCACTCCATCTTCCTCCTCTGCTCGCTCCTCTCGTGTGTGGAATCATCTCCAGGGTGAGAGCTCTGGTGGACCAGCTGAAGTGGGCCAAGGTGGACCCTGATGGTGGGGTCCTGGGAGCAGAGCCGAGCACCAACAGCCAGGCCATCTGGAAGCAAGGAACAGTAAACCACGTGCCTCCACCAGAAGCGGTGAACCAGGAAGCACTCTAGCCGTGCACGCCGTGTCCTCAAGCTCACTTCCTTGGCACCTAAGTCTCTCTTCCTAGCTGACTGCGTATGCTCCGACTACCATACAGACTCCTTCCCCTTCCATTTGAACACCTAATCCTTGTATAAAGGTTCTCCGTGGTTTTCTCTGAGGACAATCTCTACACAATTCCTCCTAAACAAAACAACCTCCCCACTCCACCCTGCAAACCCTTTTGTTAGTGGACAATTCCAATTAAAACAAATAACATACAGGAAAAAAGGAGGAGAAAAAGTAGAGATGAGTACAGGTGTGAGGGATAACTCACACTCCCAAATTACTAGTGAGTTGGTCCTTTCCAGCCCATTACATCCCATCCTACATATAGGACACATATAAGACTGCTTGATTTGTTTTCATAGGTGTCTTATTTAGAATGATTGCACATAAGGGGTTACTGAGGATTAATGCATTTTCCATGTTTTCTATAGTGAAAGATCAACATAACAAAGCTTATGTTGTGCCCTCAAATGCTTTTGCAGATGGTTGTTCTGACAGGTGACAAGCCATGAATCTGCTAGTGTGAAATCAACGAGGGGCTTTGCTGTGCTAGCCTGCTATGTTACACCATAGGACTAGAACAGAAAATAAGTCCATCCTGAGCCAAAGGCTACTGTGAGGGACCATAAAGAAGGATGTGGGCCTTGGCTTCACTTGTCCTTGTGCTGTTCTTAATAGGGTGGATTTTCTCGTGAGTCCCGAGCAGGGCACACACAAGGGATAGGGTTAGTCACAGGAGTTACTATCTGTAAACAATAACTGCTTTGTGTTAATTGGTGGAGATGTTCTTCTGATAATGGTAAATGAAAAAAAAAACAGGAGAAAATACATGAAAAGAGCCTTTCTCATCTCAGCTTCTCTGGAGAGACAGGAAGAAGAATCCTAATGGGAAGTCAGAAACCAAAGGAACGGCTGTGGCCAAGATGTGAGCAGAGGGCCGGTGACCACAGGAAAGTGGGGCAAACGGGCATGCACCCAGAGGGCACCTCTGGCCTGCACCTGGAGCCCCATCATTTTTCTGAGTTGTGCTGGCCACATGGCTTCCTATGGCACAGCAAAAAGCACACAGAAATAACATTTAGTTTGTTTGGCTAGTAATCTGGCAGCTCAACCTCTTTGAATAATTTTTAATTAAAAGTAAGGTGATTTGTAGGGGACTGGAAATTGCTTATTCACTTTGAGCTGAGAGGTCTGAGTGTAGAACAAACTCAGATGACATCTGACACTGCATTCAGGAAAAGTTTTTCTCAGTATTAGATCTTTTAAAGATGAATCTTTCTATTGCCATTATTATGTAAGTATCAGTGTTTTTGTGCTTCACTAAACGACTGCCCGTGTTTAAACACAGTGACTCTCTACCCGAAAGAATCTATTTTTCTCAGTGTCTGAACACAGCACAGATAGTAAGCACCAGGTGAAGAAAGTTAAAAATCTTTAAAGATGGAAGCATTTTTCAAGGTTGGAGAACATTTAGCCAATTAACCTCATTGTCAAAAACTATATAAATACCTACTGTTGAAGGTCAACCTGAATATCAAATTTGTCAAAAACTTGGCCTTTGGAAAAAAACTGTCAGTAACGTATCATCCTAAAGAGGTAGATTAAATTTTCATCCCACTATTAACTGTAGTTGAATGCATCAACTCTGAAATGCTTGGTAACTGCCAAGGTCTCGGCTTGGCACCAGAATCACGAGCTACCACACACCTTTGTAGGTTCAAACAGCAATTCTTTATTCCCGCTCTCACACCACCTCCACACAGGTCCAGGGGCAATCCCGTTCTGCAGTCTGCCCGCACAATTCACCTACTCCACTAGGCTATCTCCAAATCCCATTTTTATCTCACAAGCAGCAGGAACACCCTAATCCCAGCAATAATCTTCAACCTCCAACTTCCCTAAAACCCATTGTCTTAAACTGGCAACGCCTTAAACTCGAGGAGCCGGTTACTTCCTCAAACCTGATCAGCTCTAAACCCGGATCCGCCTTGGTCCTTGAGCAAGGTCACCTTATTAAAGCATGCATGCAATGTCCCATCGAATGTCCTCTAAGCAGCATGGGGTACACTTGGCAAGGAAATTTCGATGTGTCATTCCTACTTGACGATGGCCCTCAGCAGGTAACCAAAATAGAAATACCCTAGACAGGTCTCATTCACACAAACCAGCTTAATACAATTATTTTTATTTCACAATATCAGAAGAATTTACATATTTACATTTCCTATCTTCATCTGTAACAACTTTCATCAGTTTCAAGATTGGAACTGTTTTTATGCCTTTGTATCACGGATCCAAGGGTAAAATAATCTGAGGTGAGCTTGGGAGCAAAACTCGGGTCTGAGTCCCTACTCCATGCACTATCCATTAGATCACCTCTGTAGCTATTACGAAAGTAATGAAAGTTGATTCAAAGTGTGATGTTGGTCTTACAGTGCCAAAGAAAGGAAACCGCATTCCATTCTTGTACTAACTCGCCAAATCAGCTTTCTAACGTGAAACTGTTTAGTGTTATTTCAGTCACTGCTTATTAAGTATCAAACAAGGCTCAATAGCATCTTGAAAGGCCACAAAGACAGTCTGAGTATCAGACCTTGTGCTGCTTCCCTCCTCACATAACTCAGTGTTTTGTATTTTATCACTTTTACATGCTCCATTTATTTTAGTTCAAAATGTAAAATCGGTGATCCTCACTCTTTTTCAGTGTTTATTTTTCATGAGGACTAGTAATGTGAGAAGCATCTTGCAGTCCCCAAAGCATAGCCATCCGATGTTGAACTCACACCTGACCTAACCACCTTCAAGAATTTTATAAACCTTAGTACTTCCTTTATCAGACTTATGAGAGGTACCGCACGTCACATGCCAGCATCCACACCATGAGGGGTCAGTGAGGTGCACCATCCCAAGACCAGCCCCGCCTATTTCCTGCCACAGGTTCTTTCTCCAGCTTCCCTCAAGAAAATTGATTTCCCCCACACCACAATATAAGGTTATGCCAATGATCAACTTTCAAGCACAAACGTCCAGAGTTTTAGGGTTAACATGTATTAAATTGGCTTTACAGCCCCCTGAGTCACAAAATTCACAGGTCCTTGATCCCTGTACCAAGAACTGCAGCTATGTGATTTCAGTATGGGTTTATCAAGTGCCTAGGCTTCATAATATGTATAAATTAAATGCACATAACAGTCTTGTCTTATCTATAAAAACTATTTGTAGGAAACAGAATTTTGCCCTTTTAGAAAACAAGTACTTCTTTACTGAGAATTCTATATGTGCCTGTCATAGTTTAAATATCAAATTTTTTCAAGTACATGACTATAAAAACAAAGTAATAGTAGTATTAGAAATATAAAAAACATTTAGCATGCACCAGGTTGTTGCTAACGATCTGTCAGGACGGTCCTGTTGGATCCAAGTCCCTCCGGCCTGAGGCTGTGCTTCAGTTCCATCCTTCTATCTGCCAGAAAGGGCTTTTTAGGTAAAGAGGCCATCTAAATAAAGCAGGAAATTTGACTTTAATTCATGTCTTTCTTAAAAGCCTCTAGTAAAATCCTGTAGAAAGGAAGACTGTAAGCCTGTATCAGTATCTAAGGTCCTTATTCCACTGGTGTCATCTTCAACCCAGATGAAAAACAGGAGGTAACTGTTATACCTTTTCTTAATGAGAATACTGTCTTCCACATTTTAATTTGGTTATGACAAAACCTTAAGCAAGAATTACATTACTCTAAATGTATAGTACTGGTCAGTGTTCTACAAAAAAAGCCACAACATTTCTTTCTTATTGTGCCAGGCACCATACTAAACATCCCCTCATTGAGTCCTCCCAATGACCCTTTGAAGCAGGTAGTATTGACTTAATTGATGGATGGAGACATTGAGAGAGGTCTAAATAAATTAAGTAACTTTGTGGCCTCAAAAAGCCATCAGGCTTAAGCCCAGGTTATGTGATTGCAGAGCCCATGATCATCTCTCTGAAATACTGCTGTGAACCAGACCCTTCATACCATGGGAGGCAAAGGAGCTTCTAGTTGTCGTCCAAGGAATGAGAGCAAACGCCTCCAGATAAGTCCACTTCCCAGAAACATGATTCCTGTAATCAGCCAGAATACTCTGTGGTCCTAAAAGAGAAGGAACTCATCTCAATTACAGAAGGCTAGGTTCCTTGGAGATAAAACTTCACAATTATTGCCTAGAGTTTAATGGCAGCCTTCTGTTACTCATGCAGCTGTTTCCTGTAGAAAGGAATAAGTACCTGGACACACCAGAGATCAGGAATGGAGACAACGGAGCTAAAGACCATCCAAGAAGACTTATATGTTTTTAAGTCATCTATAAGCAAGCATAGCTGCTTTGTCTCTTCTAGTCTTCATTTGTCCCACACACAAATCTACACACTGATAATCAGAGGACATACAACTAGTGTTCAACTGATAGCCACAGCTGCCCAAACTGTGAGCTGGGATGCCATAGCACCCCAGGATATTTTAAGCTTTTAAAGGAAATAAGCAAAAACAAATTGTCAACATAGTAAGTGAAATGTGAGGTCCAGTGACGCTATGGAAAAACAGACAGCATAAACCAAAGCAGTTCGGGGACCTCGCAGCGTAGCCAACGATGCTTTGTCAGAATTCGCTCTCGCAGTGCAGCAGTACACTGTCAGGTCACGTACCAAGGTGAGAATTTACTCTCTCACAGGAAAGAACCTCGAAGGCTGAGCCAGTGGTGGGTCACCAACCACGGCTTGGTTAGCTACAAGGATCCAGGGCTTCATGGGAGTCTGTGAAGAAATCTGTCAGTTATTACTGATGGGAACTCATATCCTTCACTGTGCAGAAATCTGCCTTTTAGGATTTAACATGAAGTTAGATGTCAGACACGAGCAATTAGGAAGGTAAGTATTAACTGTTTTTTTTTTTTGCACCAGGGATTAAACTCAGGGGCACTGGACCACTGAGCCCCATTCCCAACCCTTTTTTGTATTTTATTTAGAGACAGGGTCTTGTGCTTTGCTTTTTGAGGAGGCTGGCTTTGAACTTGCCATCCTCCTACTTCAGCCTCCCGAGCCACTGGGATTATAGGCATGTGCCACTGCACCCAGTGTTAACTGTTTTTTGATGGTGAAAACATTTCCGGTTGTCTAAACTGAGGACCCTATTTTACTAAACAAAGATTCTGTTTAAATGAGATTTAATATATACAGCTGACTATTGGTTTTCACTTCAGATTAGTTCTTTAGCCCCTAAACCAAAGGTCTGGAAATGGCAAAATGCGGCAAAAGTGAGAGGTAAGCTAGCCAAACTCAAAACTCCATGTGCTATTACACATACACACAGGACAGTGTGAGACCTCTTGAAGTCAAGAAAAGGGACATGCTTCTGGAACTGGAGATTTTCTGTTTGTGCCCTGCATACTGAGGGTATGTGCCTTCACATCCACTGTCCAACATGCCATCGCTTTACTCTTGTATGCCCTTCAACTCCTGGACTCCTCAGTCTACTTCACTTAGAAATAGCTACAGAACATCTGGATGTGCCAGAGGCCACAAAAAGCACTAAGAACAGATGGGGATGTGTCAAAAGTACTCAGAAGCCAGATGAAAGACATGATTTGAACACCACAATAATAGTAACATAACTGACCAAAATAAGACCCCGTGAATATATATGTTGATATATGTGAAAAAGAGGTGGGTAGGAGAAAAGAGAATCCTCTATCATGCTGTGCCAACTGATAATCCCAAGAATGAGGGAATTTGGTAATCATTACAGTAATATCTGACTCAGGCACAATCAATTTTGGGGGATGGCATGACTCGAGGGTGAGGTCTGCAGATGTGGCTCGGTGGTGGAGCACCTGCCTAGATCGCACGAAGCCTTGGGTAAAAGAGTGTGAAAATCCCAAGAAAACAGGGTTTTTTTACACGGTCTCATAGTATTTCCCTATAGGACACAATTTCAAAGAGATAAAGGAAAGTTGTCTACATAAGCAGACATTAAGGGCCCCAAAACTGACTGGTATTTTTCTTGAATGTCAAGGTCATGAGAGAGAAAGAAAAACTTGTAGACTGAAGAGGGAGGAGACATGACAACTCTATGCAGCATGTGACCTAAGGTCTGGTTTGTGGTAAAGAGTGCTAGGGAAGTCAGTGGCAAAGTCCAAACAGGGCCTGGAGATCAGAAACCATTCCAGGTCAGCAGGGGAGCACTTGTGTAGTAGGTATGAGGTCATGGGTTGGTTCCCAGTACTGCCACAGAAAAAAAGAAAATAAAGTACATTTCTAGAAATGGATGAAAATGTGACAAAACGCTGACATGGAAAGAACATGGTCCGAGGGTATGTGGGGATTCTTGGACTATTCTTGGAATTTTTCTGTAAGTCTGAAATTATGTCATAAAATTCTCTTCGCAGCAGGGCACAGGAGGCTGAGGCAGGAGGATTGTGAGTTCAGAGTCAGCCTCAGCAAGGCCCTAAGCAACTCAGAGAGACCCTGTCTCAAAAAAAAAAAAAAAAAAAAAAAAAAAAAAACCGCTAGAGATGTGGCTCATGGCTAAGTGCCCCTGGTTCAGTCAATCCCTGGCACCCCACAAAAGATAATTTCTCTTAGATTCACTATTGCAAATGTTAATGCTGACTGGATAGGAAGCAAAGACACATCCACGGGTTAATAAATACTTTCATTATTCCTCAGGAAACGCAAAGACGGGATTTGTACTTCTGATGAAGTACCTAAGTCTTGTTTATCCAGCTACTTCCCAAGCCCAAGCCCCTGCCCACCACTCGCATCGCATGGGCTGCTCTGTTGCTTTGTCTCTAGGGTTGCAGAGGAAGGTTTTTTTTTTTTGGTCAGTGGGTGGGGGACAGGCGATAGGGTTTCATTATGTTGCTGGGGTCACCCTCAATCCTGGACTCAAACAATGCTCCTGAGTAGCTGGGATTACAGGTGTGTGTCACCATGTGTGATTTAAAAAGGAGTTAACAAAACCAAAATAAGCCCTTTTCTTTTTAAATAATATTATTCTTTCACTCAATGCTTAACAAATGTATTGCATTTCCTTTTCTGTTTCAAATTTCACCAAAGGGAGCATAAAAATGCACTGTTAGCTATACCTCAGGAGCTTAAAGGTCTTTTGCAGACTCTGAGCAAGTAACTGCACATCTGAGGAAAGTGACAGAAAGGAAAAAACCGGCTGGGGATGTAACTGGAAGGCAAGGTTGGGGTGCAGTCAGTGCAGTGATGCCCAAGTTAACTATGCAAAAAAGGCGGCAGGTATGGAGGCAGCGGGAAAAGCGACACTGAGGAGAGTGGCTACAGATACAGAGGAGCCCACAGGCAAAGCCCCACAGACCAAGGCTCTGGGCGTTTCACTGTGAAGCTAATCAAAAGTGACTACTTTTATGCAGAAGAGTGACATAATCAGGTTATCTTTTAAAAAAACCACTTTTTGAAAACACAGTGGTCCACGAGATGATGTGGACTGGACTAGGGTGACAGCAGACCCTTAGGCTAATTAGGACACAGACTCAAACACCAGTGTACGCCAACTGCAGGTTCAGATCACTGCTAGACATCTACACAACGTTCTCTGAAACACAAAGCTGTTGTGACGTGAGCAGCTTTGGGAGTTCTGTGCTCTGTTAACAAGGAAAGCCAAATCTTTGGGCTGGAACCTTAATTCTGTTATTTTCTAGTTCAGTATCCTTGGGAAAATTACTTAAGATTTTCTGAGCATGTTTCCTCATCTACAAAAGAGGAATAATAAATCTATTTTCACAGAGTTGTGATGATTGAGCCAAATAAGCAGACTTCCAGGTACATTACCAGACATGTATGAATGAAAAATAAACTCCTTAACACAGCCTCATAGTATCATACCACTAGCCAATCTTCTCCATATGAAGTTAGGTGTTTTGGGAAACAAAGTGTAAAACAGACTATATTTACACTTATGCAGTAATAGAATTCAGATAGTATTGTTAGATCCTAAGTGTGTTTATATTTATTTTACTATGGGAGTATACAAGTTAGACTTAAAAGTAAAAACTCATCTTCAAAACAGTAAAAATAATCCCTAAAATATTGAAACTTTATCTTCTTACCTCCTCAAGGGAAGATTCCAGATTCATTCCAAAAGCAACTCCCATTAGTCCAAAGAGTGAGACAGAGAAGGTTCCCATGGTCAACTGCAGGTTCAACCTCATCATCACATTGCGGTGGCTGGAGGGGAGGACACCAACCACAAGGGCTCACCAACTAGGTAGCAGATTCACTACATAGTCTAACAAAGACTCCAGGTATTAAATCTGTACCGTTAAACAAAGCAAAAACCCCTACTTCTGTGCAGTAGTTACAGATGATTGGTATAATTCCTTCCAAAATTACATTTCCTTAAAATCTTTATTACTTCATAAAAATTTTACAAATACTTGTTTCATATAATGTTTTCTTACCTGTCCAGATTGATGAAAATAATACTCTGTGAGTCATCAATCAGTACTCTCAGTTCCCGAGCTGCATTGGAAAGATCTTCAGCTAATCGGTGGTAGTTTTCTAAGAGCAATTCCATCTCTTCTGCATGGTCAATCCCGGTACTGCTCTTCTCACTTGAATTTAAAAAGTTAACATAATTAACATGCCCGCAATGTGCATCACACATTTAGTACCCAAAAGTTTCTGAGTTAGTATATGATATTTGGCCACCAGAGAAACAACTAGCTTTGTCTATGACTCTGGCCTCAACTGATCTTAAAACACTATACAAATAACTTGAGGGCAAAGATTCCAATATTATATAGACTAGTTAAATTCACAATATTCCATGACCCCCATCCAACAGACTCCTTCAAGTATGTGAAATCAGAGGAAAATTCAAATGTAAAATGATGATGAATTAGTGCATATCTAAAACCACCATCAGGTAAAACCAAAATTAAAAATGAACATAAACAGCATTTTCTTTCCAAGGTGAACATGTCATTTTCATATCTGAAAAATGTTTCTGAGTGCTACTAATACATCATTATTTTCCTTTATATATATAACCTCCACTAAGAAAATTTAAATAATATATTTAAATTTTTAAGCATTTTAGAGATGAATAAACCAGAGCAAAGCAAGAAAGAGTGTGTTCAAGTTCCTGCTACTATGTCTAGAGGTTATCTACAAACACCATACCCCTCTTAGTATCTCGTTAGAATGTAAACAGCTAATTTCTCAACATGCTTAACAAAATCTGTACAAATCATGGAAACTACATATATTATAAAGATGTCTGTATTCATTTCTGATACTATTCTACAAAGAACAAACTATTTGGGGTATTTAAAAAAATATTCAACTTTCAGTAGATGCGTGTGCCAACTTTCATCTCTTGAGGATGAAGGTAACTATGTGTTTAGATTCACCTTGGCTCAGCAATGTTAGGGCACAGTACTGCACAGGTAAAAAGTGAATCAACTCAGGATGAAAAATGGCTATATTCTGGTGCTGGGGCTATAGCTCAGTGGCAGAGCGCTTGCCTAGCCATGTGTGAGGCACTGGATTTGATATCACTGCATAAAAATAAATAAATAAATAAATAAATGCTGTCCATCTTTAACTACAAAAAAGGGGGGGGGGGGCTGTATTCTCTACTTTATGAGCCCTAGAAGACAGAGGTTCACCCTGTAGAATAAATAACCAAACAGGACCATACTCACAAGACCTGTGGGTCACTCCACTTCGTCAGACAGAGCTCTTCTAGCAGCTCCTCGTCATCCAAGATCTCCAAAACTGACTCTTTGAAAATCTTGATATCTGTTTCTAACTCTGACAGACTGTAGGAACAGTTACACAGAAACAATCAAAAGCATTAACTTGTAGCCTTCCGCTGAAAGAATGATACCTTCTTGGGGCATATTATCAAGTTCGTCTACCTATCACTCATAAATAGCAACTTGTTTAAAAAAATACAATAATTATTATGTAAGAATTTATTATTATGCCTACAACTTGGCGAGACACTGTCTCAAAAATTAAAAAGGGCCAAGCGCAGAGATGCACATCTGTAATCCCAGCGGCTTAGGAGGTTGACACAGGAAGATCCCAAGTTCAAAGCCAGACTCAGCAAAAAGCGAGATGCAAAACAACTTAGTGAGACCCTGTCCCTGAATAAAATACAAAATAGGGCTGAGGATGTGGCTCAGTGTCCGAGTGCTCCTGAGTTCAATCCCTGGTAATCTCCCCGCCCCCCAAAGGGGGTTGAGGGTGTATCTCAGTAGTAGAACACCACCCAGTGGGTTTAATCCCTGGGTTCAATCCTCACTATCACAAACAAGATTTCTGGTTTGGGAATTTATTATTATTATTTTGGATACAATACCTTTATTTTATTTGTTTAAAAGACCATTTACTCTTTGTGTACGTGTGTTGCTGGGGATGGAACCCAGGGACATGCCTGCTGGACAAGCATACCCTCAGCTCCAGATTATTTACTCTTAACTGATAAAAACACCTCAACATTTTTGAACAAAAACTCCTAATGAATGAGAAATTTTAACAATTTCTTTTGTCACCATCTTTTTTTTTTTTTTTTTTAAGTGCTAGGGATTACACTAAGACCTTGATTATCCAAGGAATTTTCTACCATTGAGCCACATCCCTAGGCCTTAACTATTAATTCTTTTGAAGGAGTTTAGGGAGTACAAATCTGAGAGCTTGTTTATTCAATCTGTGATACAAATTAAAATACTGCTGTTAAATTCTAGAATGCATTACAAATTTTTAAATAAAGAACACAGAACACGAACCATGGAGGGAGAGAGAACTGGATCTGAATTTAGATCTGTCGTTTACTAATTATGTAAGTTTACATGAATTACTTAAACTTCAATGCTCTCATCTTCAAGGTGAGGACAACATCAGCTACTGATTGGGGGTGCCAGTAGGAAGAGACAAAATTACAGACAAGCCTTATAGAGTGTTTCAAGCAAAATACCTTTTCCATAAACATTAAAGCTCAACTTTCCAGCTGTGCTACCCTGTTTTAGAAAAAAGTTGTGAAAACATGATTTTAATAGTAACCAAACACAAATATAGCAATGAAGATAATATGATTAAATCAAAAAGTAAAAGAATCATTATCATTAACAAGACTACTTGGTATTTTTAAAACAAGAATTATGCCAGGCATAGTGGGGCACGCCTATAATCCCAGCAGCTCGGGAGGCTGAGGCCGAAGGATTGAGAGTTTAAAACCAGACTCAGCAACTTAGTGAGACTCTGTCTCAAAAATTAAAAAAAAAAAAAAAAAAAAAAAAAGCTGGGGATGTGGCTCAGTGGTTAAGTGCCTCTAGGTTCAATCCCTGGCACCAAAATAAATAAATAAATAAATAAAAACCACACTGATTCTGCATGTAAGTTTATGCTGACAATTCACTGCTACAACTTCTGAGAGAAGTTGAAGACATTCATCACTAGCTCCCAACTTGATAAACCACCAGACTTACCTTTTGCCATTCTGCAGTAAGATATGCAGTTTGCTTCTGTCTACAGAAGAATGTCTGGGGTCCACTAAAGCTTCCAATGTTTCAAGGATCAGTGGCTGCAAAACGCTAAGCTTCCCCTGAAGGGTGTTGATCTAGATAACAACATGACCTTTCATAAGAATTAAAACAACCTTTTTAGAATACTTAGGGTCAGTGAATCCTCTGATTAAATACAGAAACTTGTAATATCTAGAAATGCTGATAATGCTTCAGAACATGGATAATACTGGAATGCCTATTACAGACAACTGAAAAATGATCTCTTGGGTTAAAAGAATTATGCATGATGTCATCATCAGGCTCAAATTTGGTTGACAGGGAATTAACTCAGAGAATCCCGTACAGACAATTATGAGAGGACTGAGGTATTGATTAAAAGGAAACTGGCCATTTCAAGGTGAAAATGCAAAATTTACAGTTGGTAAATAATACCTATATTGTTTGTAAATGGAATACAGCTCAAAATTCTGATGAAAAATATTCTCAAGAACCATAACTTATCTTGGACTTTAAAGAACATAATAAATAAATAATAAATCAGTGAAAAGTCAAAAGTATACTTTTCTTATTCAGGGTAACACCAGCATATTTTATAGTCAGCAGGAATGCACTGATAAAGCTATACTAGTTAAACAACTGAAATATTTCTAAACCAGTTGGCAAACAGAACAATACTAACCGATTTAAGTGACAAAATTAACAATATAAATTCTAATATACACTGTTTATGCCAGAGGCACAATTACTTCAAGGCTGAACTCTTCTGATCTCAGTCAGAAAGTAGAGTCCATCCAGGGTGCCTGCTGCAGTGCCTTGGTTATTCTGCGTATGGAAGAGCTACTTCCAGTTTCAGAAGACTGTGGGTGGGAAGGAGGCTCCAGACAGCCAGATTTAGGCAGATCTAATGTTTTAATATCCACAGACATACCAAATCCTCTGACCAGCAAAGTTTGGGAAGTTACCCAGGGTTACAGTCCAGGTGTCTGTGAGGCTTATCTGGTCCTGGTATGTAACCCTCGAGAGGGTTTGGGTAACTTTCCTTTATTTGAAAACTTATTCCTTGTGGGGGATGGCCGGCCTTGCTTATTGTGTAGTGTTCTTTCAGAAGGAAATCCTCCTGGCACCCCATGTAATGGAAGGAAGAATATATTTCCCAGCGAACACCGTGAGCACCCTAATCTCCCCATGGCAGCTGCCTGTGTAGCCTATCAATGGCCACTGTTTGTTCCTACTTCTGTTGCCTCTTTTTAACCCCAGCAGGGAATGCAGTAATCTATTCCCTCAGCAGAGCAAAGCAGAAGAGAAGGGTACAGGTGGAGGCCAGGAAACAGTGAACCACTCTTGTTCAGAGCCTGCCAGGTTCAGTCCCAGTGCTATCAGGGAAGAGGGTTTGTGAGGAGTGGAATATTGCTCCTCAGGGCCTGCCAGGATCCCCAGACACACTGTGACCATCACTTTAATGAGGGATCATTAGAATAACTTTGGGTGGGTCCTCTGGCAATCTAGGTCTCAAACAGAGGCATCATGTAGCTCCTTTAAGGACTGTACAAATAAATGAAAGAATGATCTAATGAATGATGTAATAGTCATCATGTGTGAACACTTTTATAATATATAGTTTAATCAGAGAAAAAATGGAATACATTTAAAATCTGACATCTTAATTTTTCAGCCCACAATAGGCTTATGTCCTATATCTAGAGTCCTAAAGCTTCAATACTTTCTCCACTCAGGACCCTTAGAAATGCTGGTGGTCTAGGAGGAGGATGTAGTTAGCAAAGTGCCACCGAAACAACACCAATCTGCCTCTTCATCCAGCACGTGACACGCAAACTCAAGAGCTTAATATAACAGGCTTACCCAATATTGCAGGAGTGCTTCTATGGCTCTGAACTCAAAAGGTAAAGGGTATGTGACAAGTTGACCTTCTCCAGCCAGCTGTGATGGGAGTTCCCGGAACAGCCATTGCTCCAAGTTTAAATTACGATAATCTAATATCAGAAGGCACTCTGGAGTTATCACAGCTTTTAAATACTGTTGAAAAGAAAACCAGGGAATATATGTATATATACACACACACACACATATATATACACATTCATATACATGCAAATTATAGAGCTATAGAAAAAAATTCATGAAAGTGTTAACATTTTAATAATTTTGGATTAAAACTAAACCAAATCAGTGTTCATTTGGCTTGTTAAAGAAAAAAAAATCAAGGCATATTTTTAATAGGCAGGAAACCTAAATATATATGGAAGTCTTGATGCCTCTCATTCTCAATAGAGCTGGAATTACTCAAATTATATATTTACTAAGACTTCCAGGACAATCATGAGGAAAATAGGGAATAAAAGGAAAGGTTTTCTTAAATGTCAGGAATTGAGTAGATTTTTAGAAAACACCTAGTTTCATCATAAGTAGTTTGGCTCAAGTAGAAAAGTTTTCTTTTAAAAACAGCATATTAAGTGAATTTGAACACAGCCTTTCTGTCCCAATTTAGAATAGTATGAAGTTAGACATTTTTCTAAAGAGAGGTTGGCATCTTTTAGGTAAAGAGCAGAGGCAGCTGTGACACCTATATTATTAACATAGAAATTATGGATTTTTTTAACCTTTTTCTCATCATTTTATTATAACAATTTTTGTACAAGAAGTTGAAAGGCAACAACATATATCTACCATTTACATTATACAATTAACATTCTGCTAAATTTGCTTTATCACATACCTGTCTATCTCTCCATCCATCAAAGACATACTGTTTTGAAGGATGCTAGCTACTGATACCAAGAATGAAGAATGTTTTCTGGAGAAAAATCACTTGGGAGAAGACTGTTTCCATTGTCGTTATTTTGATTAATTCTAGACAAATGGACAAAAATCTGCCATCAAAAACATTTTGCAGAAAGCAAGCCCATGCCCACTGTAGAGCCAATAACATAGAAACCTGTTGTCTCCTCCTCTCTCTCAGAACTCTCATCTTGCACCTACCAAAATAACTGATAATGGTGTTAATGCTGCATTACTAAGAAAAGTCAATGTATTTGGTGTGATCTAAGTAGATAAGGAAAGATATAATCAATATATTTTAAAAAGCTTTCAATAAAAATTTAAATTATGGGATCAAAATTTAACATATATAGGGGCTGGGATTGTGGCTCAGCGGTAGAGTGCTTGCCTTGCACGGGCAGGACCTGGGTTCGATCCGCAGCACCACATAAAAATAAAGGCATTGTGTTGTATCCATTTACACCTAAAAAATAAATATTAAAAAAAATTTAACGTATTTCTGGGCTATCTGGAAAAGTAGAATATGTTCTTGGTAGCTAAGAATATACTATCATTACACATAACAGGATAGAAGTGAAAAAATACATTATAAATCAAGGTTCTTTTTCTTAAAATTTTAGAAAGTAGGGATGGGGACATAGCTCAGTGGTAGAATGCTTGCCTAGCACGTCTGAGGCACTGGGTATGATTCTTAGTACCACATAAAAATAATAAAATAAGGTGTATATATATATGTGTGTGTGTGTGTATATATATGTATATATATATATATATATGTATATATATATATGTATGTATACATATGTTTGCGTGTATAAATATCCAGAATATATATATATATATGTGTATATATATATATTTACAAAGTAGAGACTAAATTTGAACAAGAATAAAAATCAGAATTTTTCCAACATAGAACAGTGTTATGCCTGTTGTGCATATGAATTAATCTATGCAAAATGAATGCTTCTTTTAATGTATTAAATTTTAAAACAGCCTATATTCCACATAGATATTTTAATTCTAGGAGGACTTTAACCTAGATATTAACCGAGATGGCTCGGAATAACTTAATAAGACTGTGGAGAATGATAATGAGAGGAAATCCTTTACCTCCATTCTCATGATAATCCTATTGTTTCTGGTTGTGATGCTCATCACATGCTGAAATCTCAAATCTCTGGCTTGAAGACCTAACTCTTGGTATAATTCAGTTTTCTTCCTTTCTATAAAAGTGAACAGTGAGTTAAAATAACAAATTGAAGAGTTTAGATGTCTTGTCAAGGCCCCTCCCTCATCCTCAGCACCATTAGGACAACTCTCCACTTCAACTAGAAACAACAGCTAAAACAAAGTCTTTGTAATAACCATTTTTAACCTCAAAAATATACCAACCCTACCCTGACACATCCTGGCAGATGGCACCACTGGTAGAGGAAAGTTAAAGGAGCCAAGAAGCTTCGCACATGTAACCAAGAGTGATCTCTGAGGAATCTCAGCTGAGTAGATAGGAACAAGGGCAGTTTTGACCAACTTGGTCCTAAACACCTGGCAGCCTGAGCACAGTCCTACATGGATATTTAAAAGGAAAAACAATGTTTGTTTGCTTGCTTTTTAATGTAATTTATGATGTACTCTTATGTCAGCTCTACCAAAGGTAAGTAAAGCTAAGTAAAGCTGGAGGCGATAGAAGAAGGATTCTTGTGTGGGAGTGCTTTATAATAATGATCACAAAGGACTGTTAAGTCACAAGCTTGTCCTGAGTTAATTTGAGTCTGATCTCATAAACCTACACATCTTCCTATCCTTCTCATTGATAAACTTGATCTGTTTTCCACTGATATGACTGAGTTACTATCTTCATGGTTTTCAGAGACTGGCTGAAATACTAATTGCTTTTGTGTTAATTGTTCACAAAAAAGTAATGCATTGCTGTTTTGTTTACTGTTGTCTTAGCATGATCCCTGCCCTGCGTGGGCCTTGTCTAGTCATCTGCCATATGCCACTGTGGATCTATGAACTGCCCTGTTGCTGAACATCCTAACTGTCCACTCTCCACCTGACAGAGAACAAGAATTTTGGATTACTTCCCCTAACTTCACCCTCGTAGGAATGAAGGAATCCAGACCTTGGGGATGGGACCAGAAGATCTAAGAAATGACTATCTCCCAAATGAACACCAGATTCTCATTCACTGATTTAAAAAGTGATTTAGAAGAAAATACTCACCAAAAGAAGTTACATTTCCCTTTTGGTCAAATTTTGTCTGTAGATCATAAAAAACAACATGTTATTTTTTTCTCAAATTAGAATACTATTGATGGCATTAATATCTCCAAAATATTTAAAAAGTTATAAACCATAACTGATTTCCTTTGCACTAAATACAGTAATAAGAGTTAAAAGAACGTCACCCTCTTACTTTGCTGGGACAAACTTGACCTTGGATTGACTCTCTTGGGTCCTCTAGAAATCTGATAAAGAAGCATCAGCTGTGTCACTGGAACAGTGACCACCAACTTTGGCCACCAACTGCAGAGACACTGCACTGGGAAAACTAGAAATGTACTCCAGGTGGAAGGCCAGAGCTCTGTCCCTTCCTGAGAGTGGTGGCTCTTGTGCCTGGTTATGTTCCCTCTGAGAGGGTTACAAGAAATATTAGCACTGAGGCGCAAGCAGATTTCAGGGTGTATCTTACACCCTCCTTTGAAAATTTCATTTCTTACATCCCAGCTGTCAACTAGCAGGTAGGAAGAGTCTCCAGCTGGCTATAAGGACTTTTGAGGAAAGACCACTCGATGTTTCCCTATTTTTTCTCCCACTTTCTTCTTTTTTGTGTTTGGTGGTATTGGGAATTAAATCCAAGGCCTTAAGCAAGCCAGGCAAGTGTCATACTGCTGAACTATATTCCTAGCCCCTTTTTAAATTGTATTTTGCGACAGGGTCTCATTAAGTTGCTCAGGCTGGCCTCAAACTCCTGAATAGACGGGGTCACACGTGTGCACCACCTTGCCCAGACTTATGTATCTTTGTTCATCATTTTTTCTTTTTTGTACCAGTGATTGAACCCAGGGGTACTTAACCACTAAGCCACATTCCTAGCCCTTTTTTAATATTTCACTTAAAGACAGAGTCTCACTGAATTGCTAAAGGCCTCGCTGAATTACTGAGGCTGGCTTTAAATTTGCCATCCTCCTGCCTTAGCCTTCTGAGCTGCTGGGATTACAGGCGTGTACCATGGTATCTGGCTGTTTCTTGTCTTTCATCCTTTTCATTAGCTTGGTACCAAGTATGGCCTGTCTCATGAATCTAAATGTATACTTGAGGTTCAGAAGTTTCTCTGATAGGCACTGTGGAATCAATAAAGATGTACAGAAAAGGCCTCTTCAGATAATTTGAAAAAAACACGATGCAAAAAATTCATTCATTTCCTGTAAAGTAGAGGAATATTCTTCTGTAATGCTTACCAACAGTTAAGTTTGAAATTGTCAAATAATACTTAACTAATTTGTGTGCTGGGCTCTACTGTTTACTATGAAAGACACACTGAGAAAAATATACTCTAAATTATTGTAGTAGGTACAATACAGATCTTTGTTACTGCTTTGGAAACATATGCATACTATTAGGAAGAAAATAATAAAAATCCATAGTATAAATTTTAGCTTGCTTCTCATGAGCAAAGGTCAATATGAATACATTAGTAGCCTAAACATCAACAGTAAAGGTAAGTTTTTATCAAAGGCAGCTTTATATTTGTATAATATAGACTAGTTTTCCTCCTTAGCTTTACTTGATAAACACATGTATCCAATGCAGAAAACTATGTAAAGTAAAACTTACAAATATTTAAATCACATGATATAACAACTTTGAGAGAAAACCATGCTCATATTTTTAATGGAAGTTTTTCCAGTCTTTTCCCTACAAAACACATTCATATTACACATACTTTTTGGCACTCTCCTTCTTTTAATACTAAATATTTTTGTATGTCAATATTTATGTATTAGTCTTCCTTTAATGGTATACTTTTCTTAAAAAGAGCATACAACTGAGTTTTTAAATATCTGATTTCTAAACCTATCATTTCAAACAGAATCAGCTGAATTCATTATGTGTTCCTGGTAGACAATTATTTCACCTGCAAGGAATTGTATTTTAGTACATAACATGTGATTTTATTTTTGTTTAACTAAACTGGATAACTTTTCCACAATGCTGAATAAAAGTAATAGCTTTTATAGGTAATTCTGGGAGTTATCTTAAAGTTTTGATGTTAATAAGCCAAAATAATCATAACAGCTAAAAATTTTGGATGCTTTTATATATGAGGCTCCCTTTTAAGGGTTTTCACATACAAGTCACTTTAATTCTCACAAAAATTCTATACAGTTTATTCCTACTTTACCTGATGTGAAAAGTAAGGTACACAGATGTTATCATAGCTTGATCAAGTCTATTTAGTTAACAAAGGTAGAGATAAGGTTTGAATTTAGGAACTCTGGTTCAGATCAAGCATTTTTAAGATCAGACTTCTGGAAAAAATTAAAAGTCAACAAAAAAATTTTGCAAAAATATAACCAACTCCTACATAGATTTCACTTGGGTTATCTTTTAACATTTTCTTAAGGGCCAAAAAAGACACAAAGGTGAGATCTGCATTAGTTATCCATCCTCCCTTCTCTGAACCATTTCAGAGAGGGTCGTAGAGACATGATGTTAGGAATGCATGCACTCTCTAAGTACTGTAATGCCTTCAAGGTGCTTCTGCAGAGCAGGGACTCAGGTACCTCTGTAGCCAACAGCTTTCAAGGGGTTCTAAACAGACTCCTGGCAAACTGTTCACAGGAAAGCTTTGAAGGTGATTTGAATGATCTGTTCTAGATAAAGGAGCTCCACAGCCATTAGCAAAATTTCAAGAGCTGTTTCTGGCTAAGCACCACACACAGACGACAGGAATTACAACATTCACTACAAAACAACAACAAAATTAAAATCAAAGTCATCAGTCCAATCCTGCAAACTTGATTTAAGTTTTCAGATGTTCTATATACTTACCACAGTAAACACCTGGGCTACACTGGCTAAAGTGGCTTGAGAAGTGTCAGTAGTTGTAAACCGGAGCACTTCACCTGAAGAAGGAATGAGAGAAACCCCTGGGATTAGAGAAACCCTTTTTCCTATAAAACACGATTGGTTTTCACACAGTGTGTGCAGAAGTCCACACCGCTATATTATTTTTTGAACCTTTTTTCCTACAAGAAAAAGAAATACTCCTCTTTGTAAATTTTAATATTTGTGAGTAATCACGTGAGGTTCGGCCGGCCATGATTTTTAAAAGTAATGGCTTAAGCACAGCATTGCCCTGAATACTCTGTACATTTTAGAGTCGTGTGGACAGAGGCCCAACACCGCCTCTGAAAGGACAGAAACGTCTGGGTTGGACCGGCAGGGCCCTCGGGGCGCGCAGGCAGCAGCGGCGGGGCCAGCTCTG